CCCCCCTCCCCTTGCACACACCAGTCGCGAGATGATGAGTCGCTGACATGCCGACTGGAGACGCGAGTGGCGGACGCGTACACAACAACCACACACGCGGCGTCGTTGGGAGTGTCGGCGGTCCTCCCAGCGGAGCCGCCTGGAGGGTAGGCACCACGCGCGCAGCGGCGTGCGATGACCCCGGCGGTTGCCTGACCCGCCGGGCGCTCCGGCTGCGACAGCAGCAGCTCGGATTTCCTTTCGCTTGAACACACACACGCCGCCGCCGCGACCAGTACTACTGCTGGCAGCCAGTCAGTTGTTACCCGCTCCCTGATGTGAGCTCGTGTCACGAGCCCGGCCTGCATGGCCCGGCTGCGGACTAAGTCACGCGCCACGGTGGCGTACGCGCCGCGCACTTACCTACTACTGGGCCGCCCCGCCCCCTCCTCCTTCCCCCGCGGGGGTCGCGGGGTCACGGCATGGCCCGCGCGTCGCAGCGCAGCCCGCACCGTGGCAGCGCGAAACCTTCCGGCGGCGCGTCGTGGCCGCTCCTGAGGTGAGGCCCGCGACCACCGCCACCGCCCCCGCGCCCACTCTCTACTCCCCGCACTGACCCTGAAGATGGCCGCCGCGAAGTGCAAGGCCGTGTCAGCGGGGACCCACCTGCGCCAGTGAGCAGCACGCCGCCGCCGTCGCTCGCGCCGCTGCACTAACGCTCCGAGCAGCAGGGCCGCGTGGGCTAAGCCAAGCTGACAACCGAACCACTTTCGTCGGCTTCAAGAGGCTCGCACCTCGCACAGTGGCAGGCACACCGCGCGGGGCCGGGTCGCGGCCGCCGGACTCGCGGAGCAGCCGAATATGACTCCGCAGTGCCTTCTCTATCACTCACTCTCTCTCTCTCGCCTAGTGGCAGCGTGTGTCCCACGAGTGCGACAAGGACGGATGGGTACACGCGAAAGCGATCTCGTGAATCAGCCGGCAGCAGCAGCACGTGCGCGATATGCAGACGCACCGCCGCCCCGCGCTGCTGTACGTGGTGTATCACCAAACAGACACACACCCACAACCCTTGCCCTGCCCTTTCACCCGAGTGACTCACGTCGCTCGTCGGCGTCGGCGTGGTATGGGTCGACTCGCCGACTCACGACACCCAAAGAGGTTCGCGCTACCGGCGGGTCGCGGCGCACCTGAGCACACCGACGGCCGACCACCACGACGGGGGCCACGTGCCGCTGCTCAACCTCTCGCTGCAGCAGGCTCGGCTGGCTAGTCAGCGTATATAATTGCACGCAAACCCCCCGCGCCCGGTTTTTCGCAGTTTAGTCGGCTAAACGCGCGTCGCTCTAGTAGTACTGTTGTTGTTGTTTGAGAGCCGTGCGTGTTCTCTTTTCCCACAGCACGTACGGCGTACGACGCCTTCCGGGTGGTGGACACGTCGACGACGTTGCGCGGGTCGCGCGCGCAGACACGCGGGACACGACAAGCAGACCGTCGCCCGCCAAGAGGCTTCCAACTAGATTCATTTATTTTGGGAAAGCGAGGCACATGCTCTCCGCGGCTCAGGTAGTACCGTTAAAAGGACACCGTATGGTAGCCCAAAGGACTGGGAGGGAGGGGAGGGGGTCACCGACTCGTCGCACACCGCCGGGCGCACCTGAGCAGCCGCCAGCGCCTAGAATACATACCGGTGTAAAATGTAAATCAGGGACGAGCGAGAAAAAAAATAATAAATAAAACGTTGGATGGCCTAGAGGGGAGCGATTGCAACGTCACCACCCTCAGTCTCAGCAGACACTCTCGGTCGCGATAAAACCAAAGCTAAGCAAAATCGTCACGCTATCGAGGAATCAGATAGCTACTTTGTAAGGGGAAAGGGATCGCGAGCCCTAGCCGATCTTAGGAGGTCTTTTTGGAAGCACAGGACGCAAAATGAACAGGGTAGGCAGCGAGTATGTGTTATGCAAACAGGACACGGAGGGAGACCCGTGTCCCGTCCAGGCGTTATCTCCTTCATCGATCTACACTTTAATCTTATCGCGCAGCTCCCCCTCCCTCCCCTCTCGGCCCTAACCCGTGGCAAAAGTCGGACAGGTAGAGTGCGACCAGGGCCTAAAGGCAGCAGCTCTCCTTGCCGTGACCACAGACGAAAGTTTTCTCCGCGCTAATAATACTGGACCGAAAACGCCCAAAGTAAAACACGAAACACTCACTGTAAGTCATTTGACTGTTTTCGACAGTCAAAGTTTATGGGTCTCTTTCGGTCCAAGTTTTGACTAGCAAGTCAAAATTTTGGCAAAAAGAGACTCACTTTGACATTCAAAAACAGTCAAATGACTGACAGTGAGTGTTTCGTGTTTACTGCCGCGCGGCATGCATGGAGGACGATTTCAAAACCATAGTGTGATGCGATATCGGAAAGACGGAGAATCGAGGACGCGGCAGTAACGAAATCACATCACGTGGACAAGTCACTTTTACCTTAAGGTACTTACGAGGTAAAACACAGAAAGAATCCTGCCGGAGTAGCCGTCCCGTCTTGTCCCGGCGGTGGTCCCCGGTCGCGACGCACATGCATGTGTCACACGAGGACGCGCCGATGCTCCGCGGCTCGCCTTACCTTCCCGCGCCTCGTCGCGGTGGGCCCACCCCGCCGCGCGCCGCGCAAGGCATTCCAGAGCAGAGGCAAGAAGGCTTCGACATCAACAACACAAGGGTCACGGCGCCGCCCAGGGCACAGCACAGGCGCGCAACACACGCGTACGCCGCGCTTTTTGCGTTGCGTTCCAGGTGGCTGTTTGTTGTTTTCCAGCTGGGCCGCCGCGGCAAGCGTCGCGTCGTGTCGCTCAGCGCGCGGTGCGTTGGTACCGTGTGTGCCAGTGTGTACCCGCGCGGGTACCTCCGACTCGAGCTCTGTCTGGCTGAATGACTGCGCTCAGCACGGCAGGACGCCCCACGCCAGCCACACGCCGCCGCCGCGCCGGAAGACGAGAGGGACGGGCGATAGTAGGGACGCGTCCGCACCTGGCAAAGGCACACGCCCCCGCGCCGGCACACCATCTAGCTTAGCTCATGCTCATCCACGGTCACACACACACACGGCCAGAAACGCAATATCGATCCATGTGGTTTCGATATCACACCGACATATGAGTCGACGGAACTATTTCTGGTGGTGCTTGGCGACCATCTGTATCAAAATGTTGTGATTAAAAAAAGACAGAGGATGATAATTAGACACACAGGTTTACATTCAGACATTTCAAGTGTATTTTCAATGCTTGGGTTTTGTCCAATGTTTTTCTTAAAAAAGAAACAAAACATGAGTCGTAGATATGCACCAGGTGTAACAGACAACATGCTTGCACATCATTATCACAATAGTATATCAACTACAATAGTTATTTAAAAGTCAGTCAGAAAGACAAACAAATGTACTATGTAGTGTAGCACTAGGAATTTGAATGGATACAGTGACGATTACTCTTTATGTTCCTATGAAAAGGGTCCTTAGAT